CTGACTTTTCAAAGACATTGTTCAAACTGAATAAGACATAATTTTAACCGTATTTTTTAAAGTAAACATTTTTTACCCAAATAGACTGACAATATAAAGTAACACAGGTGGGAATCCTAGAACTTGCTTGGCTGCCTCAATAACCCCAAAGAAAACATTTATTTTAGCCAAACAATTGTAATGTTTGTCTCCTTTTAGAAACATCTGCTGCCAAAATAAACATTTGCATTGGAAGAAGTGTTTTGGCTGTTAAGATAGCACCAAATAAAATGCTTATGTTCTGAAATAACATAACACTTTTACTCAAAAAACACACAGCAAAATACACATATCCAAAGGGTACAGAAGATAAAGACACAAATGAGAATACCTATTGATTTCTAAAGTCTTCTTCAAAAGAACTTCAACTTTAATTAGGTTTTTAAGGGATAAGTTCAGATGGATCACCTTAACAAAAATAACTAATTTCTATTTAATTTTTCCAGAATACCTTTCAAAACTATTATATTCTTGTTGTTATATCATGCTTTTATTTTTGTAAAGGTCTTTGGAAGACAGATGTGTTTTTAAAAACTAAAAAGGTCGTGTTTTCCATTATAAAAATACTCATAAACTTAAATATCTCACTGCCCTCTTCCCCTTTCCCTGGCTTTATAAAGCAAAGAGGCATTAGATTATACAAACTTCTGCAGTAAGGTAAGAATAGTTAAAATATCAACCCACTAACCCTTGATAACTCAGGAAAAATCTCAACACTACATGCGGTAATTGAAATGTGCTTGACACAAATAAATATACCTTCACTTCTGTAGCCTATTTCCCCTGTGCTATTTCTTTTATATGAAAATCTTTTTTAAAGCAAGTTGGCACAGGCCTGCATATACATTTATAATCACAAAGGACAAGAGAAGTAAAACAAAACATTTGCTCACCCACATCCCTGATCCAGCCAGGGGTACCTTAGTGTCTATGTTATTTTAAAAATCTAAAAAAACTCAAGAGTCAGATTCTGGTAACCTTAAAGATTATATTTCCTCTGTGTGGTTCTGTATTAGACGAAATCAACCAGTATACTTCCGTTAACCATCTCCAAGTTTGAATTCCAGGAGCCTAGAGGCAGAACATTCTCCACAGAGGCATAGAAAATTCATTTCCCCTCTCGGCTCAATAGAAATTCAAGTAGACTAGTTTTTAGGGCACTGTGCAAAACTAATCTGTTTAGCCATGTATTCGCCTGATGGTATGGGAGAATCAGCATGTGAAAGAGCACAAATCTAGTTCCAGTTAATAAATACCAAAATGATGTACTATTATCATGTCATGCTCAAAGACCTAGTCATGAGTATATTGCAAAAATAAAATTATCACCTTACAAAAATCAAGAATTACCAGGTTAACTCTAAAATCAAATACTCGATGGCCAGTTTCTCCTGACTCTCAGAAACAAAAAGCAAGCAGGGATATTATCCATGTTAAATTTCATATAAGCATGGCAGTCCTCTCTAACAGAATACTCATTTACAATTCCTATCACAGGAGTGGAACGCTAGCCAGGAATCAAACTGTGACCCCTGAGCCAAAGACAACTTACCACTCAGCTGGTAAGTGGGCAACTCAATTTACAAACTTGAATTCCTGCATTTTAATCCTTTGCAGAAATATATGAGCAATATTAAATGAACCTGATTCAGCTCATTAGAGGCTCACAAACCAAACACAGAAAGCTTTGGAGGCTATCCAAAGCAAAGTCATGCCTAGGTGGTGATGTCCACTCAAGAAAAACCTCAATGTCATCATTATCTTTCAACTTCTTCCCTGAGAAACATTAGCAGCCATGATTACAAAAATGCTCAGCCAATTACATTAATACTAGGAGAAAACGGACAGGACCAGCAGCCTGTGCCAGGGCCTTGTCTGTGGACAAGTTTATAATTATCCAAAATTTACAAACAAAGCAACTCATGGAGAATTCCCCACCAAGAACACTGGCTAAAACTAACAAAGTAAATGTGCTCTAATAACTTTTACCCAAAACTTTCTTAATTACATTTTTTTCCATTCAAGGCTATTAATTAGCCTATACCTAACTGATCACATGAACTGGTATTCTAAAAGTTGAGTCCCTTTTAAAGTGTTACACATATTCAAAAATGCATTCATAGCCATTTTTAGCCTTTTACTTATCAAAACAAGATACTATATTTTAAGACTATATCATAACTAAATTAAAGGACAAAAAGGCAATACAGATTACTTAGAACACTTGATTATGATGAACTCAATATGAAAGTTTGACCTATTATGGCCAAGGCATTCAATTTCTTACCAGATACACTACTTTCCTTTCATTATCAGAAAGATTTGTCCTTAATTAGAATTAGGCATTTCTTCTGGTTAGCAGTAAAATGCCTAATCTAAAATCTTATTTAAAAATTTGCTGAAATAGTTGGTGAGTTATCTTCATCAATTTGTCCCTTCAAAGAAATCCAAGAGTTACTGAATTTCAAAAGTATGTAAGAGACACAGGAATTAAAAAAAAAAATACCAAGAACCCAAGAAATTAAGATTACTCATGTACTTATGTACGTCCTCTTCTTCCAGGCTTACACATGTAGGAAAGAAAATAATGAAAAAAATATTCCTGGGTAATCTTTTTTTTTTTTTTAAGATTTTATTTATTTATTTGAGAGAGAATCGGCACACACAAGTGGGCAGATCAGCAGAGGAAGAGGGAGAGAGAGCCTCAAACAGACTCCAAGTGGAGCAGGAAGCCCAGCACAGGGCTGGATCGACCCTGAGATCATGACCTGAGCCAAAGGCAACTATTTAATGGAGCAAGTCACCCAGGCGCCCCCTGGGGTAACCGTTGTTTATACACTCTTTTCCATTTGCTGGACTTCTACTTTGGCATTGCAAACTATGCCAAAGTCGAAAACTTATAAGACTTTAATTCATTCAGAGAAAAAGATAAAGAAGTATCTCGTACCTTACCATAAACATCACCTTTCAAAATGAATTTCTGACAGCAGGAAAATATAGTGGAAAGAAGATAGAGATAAACAAGGAGTGATTAGCATCTACTTCTTTCCACAAGTCCTGCTACTTCTTCCCTTCTTCTCTTCCTGTGGCTGGGGTTATCATACAGGACTATCAGCCCCCAAATGAAATCAGCTACAGAGGAGAAATAGGATTTTGGTAGCAAGCTGCTTAGGCTTTCTTCCCCTCAACTAAGAGCAAGCTGAATTAAAACTAGAAAAAGGAAAAGAAAATCATGTCATACTTTTCAATCATGTCTTACTTTTCAATCATGTACAAACTATTTCCCCCTCACAATTAGTAACCTCAGCTAAAGATGTTTTATTCTAGGCAGCAAAATATTTCTGGAAGAACGGAATTATGCTGAAAAAATTAACAGAGCAATTAAGTAAGTGTGCAAGTGACTCAGAATTCTGGGCAGCCAATTTTAATAAAGGAGTAATAACAGCTATTTAAGGAACCAACAGCTAGGATTCAAAGGCTGAGCTACTTCCATCTTTCCCTACAATCATCTTGAAATAAAAATACCGCCCAAGGAGGGACAAAAAATAAAGAGGAAAAATAATATTCAGCCTATAAAATAAAAGGCTCAGATGCAACTTCATCAACACAGCTCTGGAGCATGTAAAAGTGTATCATTCTCCACTTCCATCTTAGAAGAAAAGTCTGATCCATTTTTTTTTCTGCCACAGATGATTTTTGGTCAAACACAGGGAAGAATTTCCAGAGAGGAAGTATATGAAACACTGGAATGGGGTACTAGCAACATTAAGGAGTAATTTATCTGGAGGCAGGAAAATGTATGCAGCATCAGCCCAGTGCACCCCCAGGGTTAAAGACTTGGTGTGGGAATTTATAAATAAGGCTTTCTGGTATTTCTAGTGACTAAACACCTTAACGAGTCTGAATCTAATTTAGTCTTTTCCTAATTTCATGCTTCCTCAGGCCAACATAACAAGGATATACTCTAGTATCCAAGAGACTCTAGGTTTACTATGGCTAAAAAGTAACTCCAACTATTTGATTCTAGAGAAAAAGGAGAAAAATACTGGGGGGCTTTAAAAAAAAAAGTCTTTTTAAGTAAAACACAAAACCCATCCAAATCTAAGAAAACAGATGTACACCAAATCCTCTTATATGAAAGCAATGTCTTAAGAAATAAACACAAAAAAACTTTTTGGGGAGAATAAAAAAACTTTTCTCAAAGTTGATGCCGTTTTCATGGTTATTTATTTTTTAAATAATTAAAACTTCACCTTAAGAACTCTATTTACAGTTCAAAACATGCCAGTCTGACATCAGAAATGTTAGAAAGTGAAGCTGACTTCATGGGGTTTAGATCTATATAATGTAGTGCAAAATGATGAGATTGCCTATCTTTCAACTACAGTCAATAACACGGTAACAGCCTCCACCAAACAGGTATTTTTTGTCCACTTTGTTCTAAAAAGCTCACTTTTCCTTTTTATTTATTTTTATTTTTATTTGTTTTAAAGAGAGAGTGCGCATGCACGCAGGAGGGTGGGGCAAGCTGACAGAGGGCTAGGGAGAAAGAAAGAATTTTAAGCAGCTCACGCTGGGACTCCCAGGCAGGCCTCCATCTCATGACCCTGAGGGGAAATCAAGAATCCAATGCTTAATGACTGAGCCAACCATGGCTCTTTTTTTAAGTAAACTCCACACCAAGCATGAAGCCCAATGCAGGCCGAAGTCACAATCCTGAGATCAAGACCTGCACCAAGATTGAGAGTTGAAAGTTTAACTGACTGAGCCACCCAGGTGCCCTATCACCTTTCCTTCTTTGAAAGAAAACTGCACCTGTGATTACCTGAAGAAACTATGAAAACTAGAAGAAAAAAAAAATAATGTTTCCTAATTCTCTCAGTACCAATCTTTAGGTAGACAGCAACAAAGACAAAACATCACCAATTTGAAGGGGAAATGGGATTAAAACCAGCACAAACCTGCTGCTGTGGGTACTGCATTCCTCCCATGGCCCCTGGGGTCCGACCCTGGATGCTGATTGGATACCGTTGTGGGCCTGGTGGGCCGTAAGAGCCTCCTGGGTAAGGGCTGCTTTGCTGAGGCTGAGAATGAGGGTTACTGCCCATCCCATACAACTGAGGTCTCTTCATCACCATAGGATCCATTGGGCTGCCCTGGGAAGAAATAAACAAAGACACAGATTATGTCATTATGTATTACAAAGGCAGAGATTTTGTTACACTAACATTTACACAACTATCCTTATTTTTGACAATATTAAAGACACACAATATATACAAATATCAGATCATTATGTTATAATATCTAAAACTAATATGCTGTAAATCAATTACTTAATTAAAAAAAAAACAATTAGGTGGCATATAAAAACCCAGAACATTTAGGAGAAAGGTCTAGATGGATACATGACACTTATTTTTTATTTTTAGGAAGGTTTTAGCAATTACGAAGGAGGAAACAAAAGGAGGAAAGAGTTTGCAGAGAGAAAACATTTGCATCTAAAATTCTGCTATACATATAGGATATGAGCATGACAGTTAATCTCAGCCAGTTCCTTTTAGCTTACTAGTAATAAAGTATACTGAGTGGTTAGCAACGATTTTGACTTCAAAGTATTCTCAGAAAAACTACTCTAATTTGGACCTGAGTCTGCAACTCCTGATCAAACATTAATGCATCTGAGTACTCATTAGAAAGTGAAAGGATAGATTTTAGATAATACAGAATGTCTAGGGTAAAAATTTTCAAAGATCACTAGTGCATATGAATAGGCACCCAGACTATGAATCACAAGCCACCTTCCCTATGTCAGTATCTTACCAAACATAACCAGTTCAAATCTAGACTCTGAGTTTTATTTTGGGTTTAGTGAGTCAGCCCATGGGCCTCAGGGCCAAGGCCATTCCGGAGAGCCAGAACTAGAGACTCAACTGGGACTTTCTTGCCTTGGGTGCTTCAAAGGAGCAGAAGCCCTGGCAAGGGAAATCCCTCCCCAAGGTGCTAAAAAAGCCTGCAGCATTCATACAAGAGATCCTTCTTGCCTTCCTTCCAAAACCATACATTGATCCCCACTGTATGCCAGACTCTATATAATATATATGAAAACCCTCTAGAAGGCTTAAAGATTACCAGAATAAATGAGTGAGAAAGTGCCAGGCTCAAGGTGGGGAGGGACAGGGCATAGAGAACCACAGAGCAGAAGGAGCAGCATAAAGCAGAGGCTCAAGGAAGGTGAGCTGCCTGATGTTTATGAGTAAACATAAGCAGTTGAGATCCAAATGAAGCAGGAATTTGCAAAGAAGCTGCAGCAGGCAGAAGACAGTACATGGGTGAGCCTTGCACGTCATCTGAAAGGCTTCAGACTGCACCTTGGGGTGAACCACTAGGTGCTTTTAACAGAGGCAGCTATAGTTGGATCCAGCTTCAGAAGGCCTGCTCTCAAGCAGCTGCCTGGAGCCAGGGTGGGCTACTGCAGCAGGCAGGTGAGCTGAAATACTAAACTGGTGGCAGTAGTGGCAGAAAGAAAGCCCAGATTCAAGTAATGGGATGGAAATACAACACAACTTGGAGACTAAGTGATGGAAGAAGACAGGAGTCAAAGGTGGCTCAATAGATAGTAAGACACCATCTGAGACAGGATATGCAGAGGTAGAAGCAGATCAGCCCTCTCCTCCATTTGCCAAAGGGAGCCTTCAGTATTCTACACAGGAAATCTGAGGTTCCTATAGGAAACCCAGGTGAAAACATCTAGAAGGAAGGAATCTGGGATCCCTGGGTGGCTCAGCGGTTTAGCACCTGCCTTCAGCCCGGGGCATGATCCTGGAGTCCCGGGATTGAGTCCCACGTCAGGCTCCCTGCATGGAGCCTGCTTCTCCCTCTGCCTGTGTCTCTGCCTGCCTCTCTCTCTCTCTCTCTCTCATGGATAAATACATAAAATCTTAAAAAATAAATAAAATAAAATAATAAAATAGGAAGGAACCCAATATGTTTGTAGCTTGGGGAGTAAGGGCTGACATAGAATGACATATAGGGAAAAGTCAGCATATAGAGGATACGTTCTTGGGGATTCATAGGAATTTGCCAGGAACTGATCTCACCTGAATGAAAATATGTGTAGGCCTAACAGTTCTGCTCAAAATTCAAATTTCATGGAATTTTAGATGTGTTACTTTCACCAGTCAAGGAAATTTTGTACTTACAATGATTATATACTGATGTTACACAACCTGTGCTAACTTCACAATTCAACACACAAACATGTATGTTGATATACTGCAATAAAACAAAAATCAAGTGTTAAGAATTAAGTTTTCCCAGAATGAGTTAAATCAGAACATATGCCTTAAAAAAAGCTGAATATAATTATTTTCCACACTTTCTCTCAAAAGATAAAACTTCCTATGGAAGTGTGAAAATAAAGGCTTAGCTGGTGATTTCAGAATGAATGAATGGCCAACAGAGAGGCTGAGTAAATCAGATTTCAAGCTAAATTTCTAATACGGAGTCCTGAGGCAGCCCTATCTTCACATTCAATCTGGATTAGCCAGGACATAGGAAAGGTCTACTTATTTCACTTTAAATAATGCACCCCCAAACTGGCTTAATTAAAGCAGAAATTTAAAATGGAAAAATGATTGGAGTGTCTTTATTTTAATGCTATAGGTAACAGTGCAGCAAATTCATGTTATCAGTGACTAAAATTGTTTTGTAATATCTGTCTAATCACTGCAATAAACCTTTACCATCCTACTTAAAATTCAGTTAATTTGCACCCATGTCAAAAACGTTAGCTTAACCCTGAGAGTTCTGAGAATCGGAAACATGAAATACATAGATTATCTGTACCTCTCAAAATGCATCTAATACCTTTCAGTGAGACTTCAGATATGAAAACAGATACTTATACAGTGCAAATTATTTAATTTTAACCTTCTCTCCTTATGGTCTTGTGTTAAATACTCATCCACACCTCAAATTCATCCTGCTGTGTGCTCTTCCTATTTTTAACATTAAATATGTACAAGTGCAGGATCTCAACCCCTGCTTTTTACTACTTCCTCCTTAGAGAAACCAAAGACCAAACCAAATATAGATTTTTCCAAAAAACCTAAAGGTCAAGTCGCTTCTCCTATTCACTTCTAACCCAAAACAATTTTAGTATTTTTATCATCTCTCCTTGGTTGATCTATTCCAGAGTACCATCATTTTCATTTCTCATATAAAATGTATGCTCTATCAGAGACATTGTGCATATTAAAACAGTCCTCAAATACTTCTCTAAATATGTTACTCCTCTCTAGATACCATTCCACAACTACTGCAGTTTGAGCTTCAATCCTATAAACTAAGTCCTTTGAAGGCCACAGTATGTACCACCCATTTTCAAAACACTCAAAACAACTAGTGTAAGTTTAATTATACTCAGTGTCTTATGCAATTTTATTTATTGGTAAGGCTTTCTTATAACTCCTCCTTTGTTCAAATAAACTTTTGTGTAGATATGCATGTATGAATTGTACACCACACACGAACACGTGCACACACATGCCTTCCTACATCTCCTTTTGGGAAGCTGCCACTACTACCTACATCCTCCAAAATCCTCTGAAGGTTTTCTATCCCAAGGACAACTAAATAAGAAAGAGTACAATGTATATTTTTTTAAATATATATTTGAACATATATTCTAGACAATTTAGACAGCATACTTGGGCTGTATTATAGGTAAAAGAGGTTTATCAAACGCTGGCCTAAGAATCCAACAACACTTTTAAAGATAATCCAAATTAAACAACAACTCACTTACATACTTTTAGTATACTTTAGACAGACTTTTTTTTTTTTAAGTGTACTCCACCCTGGGTGTGAAGCCCAACTCGGGGCTCAAACTCACAATGGTGAGGATCAAGACCTGAGCTGAGATCAAGAGTCAGACATTTAAGTGACTGAGCTACCCAGGTGCCCCTACTTTATTTTTTTTTATTTTTTTTAGGTGCCCCTACTTTAAATAGACTTGATGCTTTTTATACTTATTCCTTCATTACCACTCTTTCAGAGTATGCCACCATATGTTTTTATAATAAAGATATCTACGTAATTGTATTTACTACCAAATATTAAGTTAGGGAAATGGTTTATTAGTAGTTTCTTTCTGAATATAATATGCTACAATTTTTTCAGCCCAATTTCTTAAACCACAAATTGAAGAAAAGCATTGCAAACCCACTGAAAGAACTATCCTATTTTCTTGATCTCTAATCATATCTATACATCTGGATTAAATATGCGCCCAAAGAATCTCTTCCCGTTTTGTACCATTATTTGAGAAAATATTCTATATTACCAGCAACTAAAGAAAACTTCGAGGTAATATTTCATTACCTATAAAATGACAAAAATAATGAAACCCAATTTAAGTAAATGAGTGTTTATACCAGTAGGTTTTATACCTACTAGTAGGTTTTTCACTACTACTTCACTCTGAGAGATAACAGGACAATAAGCTTTAAACAAAAGCTTTAAAAATTCTATCTTGGGATGCCTGGGTGGCTCAGTGGTTGAGCGTCTGCCTCTGGCTCAGGTCGTGATCCCGGGGTCCCAGGATGGGATACCACATGGGGCTCCCCTGAGGGAGCCTACTTCTCCCTCTGCCTATGTCTCTGCCTCTCTCTCTCTGTGTCTCTCAAGAATAAATAAATAAAATCTTTAAAAATAAAAATATAAAAAATAAAAACTCTATCTTGCTCCAACTCTTACCCTGTCTCTCAAATGGGGCAGGGGTGCGATTTCTCCAAATCCATCTGCAGCTACATGATTTTTAATACTGACGGGAGACAGCATGGTCCAGTGAAGAAAGTGTGGGCTTGGCCGCAGAGTAGGCCCACACCCTATCTCACCACTTACTACCACTATATGACCCCAGATACATTGCATATTAGGCTTCTCACTCAGCAAATCGAAGAAATAATACCTAACTCACAATTCATGTGAAAATCAAATTAGTAAGAACTGTATCAGTTCTGAGAGCCACTTACCAATTGTTCAAAGAAGAAAACTAGAAAAACCTATTCGACAATTACAGAATATGTGAACAAGCCATAACATATGAGCATAGTGGAACCGAGAAATGGAAAAATATATACATAACAATGTC